GTGTGTGAGTGTGTGTGTGTGTGTGTGTGTGTGTGTGTGTGTGTGTGTGTGTGTATACACATATATATAAAAGCTATGGTCATTCCACTTTCAATTATTTTGTACATACACCCTCATTATGAAGTTCTGCTGTAGGAAATATGTATTCTTGTTCATATACATGTCTCTCTGTGGATTATGTATGTGCCATAAATCTTTTTAACTGAGTAAGTCTGTAACACTTAATAATTCATTTAATTTCCATTTCCAGTACGTCACTCTTTTGGACTAGATTTCCTTTTAAACCTTAGCGTCGCACATCATCAGATGTATAATTACTAAAATAGAAATAAGCAAGTTAACATAAAATAGTCGTAGGGGAAATTCCGGTGTTGAACATGAGAGTCTGTGAGACGCATTTCCCCGAGAGGACACTTATATCATTGTGGTTTTACATTACCCAGCATTCCTTGAGCTCTGATGATTTCAGCAGGAAGACACTGACCCATGTGCTGAAAATACAGTTGATGTTTCTGAGAGAAATGACGTGATTTATCAGCGTTGTTGAGCAGCGTCTGAGGGAATCTGTGTTTCAGAGTCGTTTCAAGTGGTGGTGAGAGGGAACGGGTTTCGACACGCCAGAAACATTGACCAGGTCCTGTGCAGCTTCAAAATCAACGACACAGTCACGCTCAGTGAGTGTCTCTCCAAGTGAAAAACCAGCATGTCTAGCTGCGTTCAGAACTCATTTGATCTGCTTTACTGAACGCTGAACATTTGAGTGCTTTCAAACCATTAATCACATCCAAATAAAAGTTTTTGTTTGCTTAGTATATGTGTGTGTACTGTGTATATTTATTATGTATATAAATACACACACATGCATGTATATATTTAAGAAAAATATGTTGTATTTATATATTAAATATATTTAAATATAATGTAAATCAGTGGTTCTCAAAGTGTGGTACGAGTACGCAGAGGAATCACTAAATTAAATATAAATAAGCTTTCCATTGATGTATGGTTTGTTAGGATAGCACAATATTTGAAAATCTGGAATCTGAGGGTGCAAAAAAATCTAAATATTGAGAAAATCATCTTTAAAGTTGTCCAAATGAAGTGCTTAGCAATGCATATTACTAATCAAACATTAAGTTTTGATATATTTACGGTAGGAGATTTACTAAATATCTTCATGGAACATGATCTCTACTTAATATCCTAATGATTTCTGGCATAAAAGAGAAATGTATAATTGTGACCCATACAATGTATTGTTGGCTATTGCTACAAATATCCCCCAGCGACTTAACACTGCTTTTGTGCTGCAGGCTCACAGATGAAGAATAAATATACACAGTACACACACAAATATTATGTAAACAAAAACGTTTATTTTGGATGCGATTAATCGTTTGACAGCACTAGAACATTTTATTCTTCTGTTTACAGATGAGAAGCCTGCGAGCGTGGAAGACACGTTCTTGCTGTGCCCCGCGCCGGTTATAGATGAAGTTGGAAAGTAAGTGTGAGGTCTGTGTTTATGATCCCTGTCAAAGGTCACATTCCACTTCCTGCGCAGCTCGCTGCTTTAGCCGTCCAGGCGGATCGTGGCTTTCTTGTTCCTGTCAAACCTGAAGAATCACAGCTTTACATGATGTCAGCGGCTCTGAGGAGCTATTAAAAGCAGACAGTTCCTCAGAAAGCATTGTGTTCATCACACCCACTCTTTCTTTGTTCCTTATCCATTATTTCATTCTTTCCCTTTACTGCTCCCATAAACCCTCAAGGATCCGTATGTACTCCCCCGCTTCTGCTTTCCATGCAACAATGATACTGTTTGTTATAAAGTATTTTTTAAGTTATGGCTGAAAGTGTTGAATGAAATCTAGTGCACTGCTTAGGCATCACAATATTATAATCTATAACAATTACAATTAAAAGTGTTAAAAATGTTAAAAGTGTTAAATATTACCTTTAAATTAGTAGCAGTCGGTGGAAATAATTATTTGTGTAACATCCATACAATTTATATAAAAATCTAATTTCCGAAATTAGTAAATAAAACGATTATTGGAATACATTTGACAAGAAAATACTATTGTACGCTTTCTACTTAAAATTTCACATTTAATTCAGTGTGTTAATTGCCAATTCTTTTTTGATTATTTGATATTTAATAGTTTTTTATATTTTCTGATTTCATTTTAATTTTATCTACAATTTTGTCATTTTTATTAGTTTTTTTTAGTTTTAGTGTTTTAGTACTTCAAGGTAAACATTAAAAATGTGTAATAATATATATACTGTATATATATATATTTTAAATAGAAGTTACACATAATGAAAGATTTAGTTTTAGCTAACTAAAATAACCCTGGTGTTAATTCGTAGTTTGACGTTCTAATAATAATCGGAATAAACAATTCTTCTGATCAGAATTTAGAACCCTGTTTTGTTCTAATAAAAACATTTATTTTTAGCTTTTGGTGCAGACTGAGTCCATCAGTGTTTGTTTGGTGTGAAGGTGCACTCAGTTTCAGACCATGTACATGAACAGAGTCAAAGAACCACCCCAAGCTTTACTTTTCCTCTCAGAAAGGATTGTGTGGCGAAACATCATTATAATTTTGTACAGAGGAATGTGAAGCTGATCTGAAGTAGATGCTCTCCATCAGAGAAAGTGGTCTTTTCTGTCAGAAACGCAGATTTGGCCTCTGTGTGTCGGGAGACAAACCTTGGCGGGAATGTTGAGCATTCGGAAAGCTGTTTTGTCAAATGTGTCCCTGCAGCACAAAAGCAGTGTTAAGTCGCTGGGGGATATTTGTAGCAATAGCCAACAATACATTGTATGGGTCACAATTATACATTTCTCTTTTATGCCAAAAATCATTAGGATATTAAGTAAAGATCATGTTCCATGAAGACATTTAGTAAATTTCCTACCGTAAATATATCAAAACTTAATGTTTGATTAGTAATATGCATTGCTAAGAACTTCATCTGAACAACTTTAAAGATGATTTTCTCAATATTTAGATTTTTTTGCACCCTCAGATTCCAGATTTTCAAATATTGTCCGATCCTAACAAACCATACATCAATGGAGAGCTTATTTATCCAGCTTTCAGATGATGCATAAATCTCAATTTTGAAAAATTGACACTTAAGACTGGGTTTGTGCTCCAGGGTCACAAATGTTTGAGACACTAGACAGCTGACTTCAACAAATGTTCACCAGCACCCTGCAGAGCTCTGTGAGGCTGCCAGTTATGATCTGCAAGGCATTTTTCATGCAACTAAACATCTTTAGTTTAGAGAAATGTAGCGGGGTTGTTTTTGGCACTCATGTCTCTCTGAATCCCGTTGGTCTGGTTTTCTGCTTTTTTGGATCCTGCTGTGCAACGTTACATGATTTGCTGGCTTTCAAAGTGACAAATATGGCTATGAAAACTGATGTTTGTTCTTTGCGCTTCAGGGTGGTGTACCTGCAAGTCAGCATGAACGAGGGTCTGTCGTTCATCACCAGCTCCGTTCACATCACTACAACCGAGTGTGTAAGTCTGAATACAAACACAGCATCACATCCAGCACACCTACAATGCAAACTACAAAATATTAAATGCTCCTTCGTTTTGAGATTTGAGAATTAATTTTACATCCTGAAAAATGGGATCGTTTCTTAATATTTAAATCTTATTTTGCCATGTAATATTCCTTAATTTTACACCATTTTGTAATGAAAAATTACATGTAATATTTGTTATAATATTTAAACATTATTTTGTCATACCATATTCATTCATTTACACCCATTAAAATTTTACTAGCAAAAAGTGCATGTAATTTTTAAAATAATATTTAGTGGCCATAGCCCCTATTGTGTTTGTATGTGTTCTTTATTACTACATTCAATAGCTTACTTTAAGACTCCACCCATTACAGTAGCAGTCATTTTGAAAAGTACAGTATTCCATTTTTTTCACAACTACTCCTTCAAAATTGGTCCAATTCTTCCCAGAATTGGCAGAAATGATCCGAGCCACATAGAAATGACATTGACCTAGCGATGAAAAAAAGGTAATGATGCTGTGAACTTAACGAGGTTTACCCGAAATTGGTTCAGAGCCTGTATCTTAGCCAAACTTTGATCAATCAAAATGAAACTTGGTACACTTCATCAACACCATGATCTGAGGGTTCATGCCAAAGTTGGAGACAGCGCCACCTACGGGTCATGAGATACCAAAAATGGCTATTTTGGCTAATAACCTTTGAACAGTTAGTCAGAATCATAATCTTGGTGTCAGATTTACTAAACAGGGCAAATTGGGGACAGATTTACTAAACAGGGCAAATTAGCACGAGAGCGCATTTCCAAAACAACGCAGATGGGCGTGGAAATTTATCCAGGTGATTCACTGACAATGCCCAAATTAAAGAACACAGACACATCATCTAATTTACATATCGACCAACGCAATATACCAAGCGCAGTGCAAATTAGCGTAGATCGCAAATATGCAGCGATGCTAATCAGGTGCGGGTGATCTACTTACGTCACAGGCACAAATAGTTAAATAATGGTGCAATTAACGGTAATTTAACGAGCACAAATGTTAGTAAATTGCGTTGCATGATTCATTTTAATTCTTTCCTCCCATAAATTTTGCGTCTAAAAGGGAAACTCCTACAAATGCATATTCAATAAGATCAGAC